TTTTTAGACCGGGTCTCATGTGCAGCCCAAGCTGGCCCGGAACTCCCCATCCTCCTGGGCTTGAACTCAGGGCCTGTCCCTGAGCTTCTTTTACTCAGGGCTAGCGCTCTACCACTTGAGCCACAGCTCTCCTTCCAGCCTCTGTTTATGTGGTACTGAGGACTCAAACTCAGGGCTTCATGTGTGCCAGACAAGCACTCTACCACTGAGCCACCTGCCCAGCCGTTCTGAGTGTTTTGAGATAAGAGTCTCGAAAACAGGACTTCACAGGCTGCGGCCCTTCCCCTGCCTCCTCCGGGATTGCCAGGATTACAGGCATACACCACTAAGCTCTGCCAAAGATGGTAGACTGTTTGGGTTTCATGTGTTTACCAAGACCCTTCCGGCAGAAATGGAGACAGAGGTGGTGTGGGTCTCATTTCCTGTGTGACAGCTCGCTAGTGTCCTGGGTCCTCTGGACTTCAGGTCCACGCTCCCTCCCCGGCTGGGGCTGAGCAGTAGAATGAAGGCCTGGCACAGGGCTGGTGCGGTGACAGTTCCTGGCAGCTCCGCCCACACTCCCACACTCCGCTGGCAGCTTGGAAAGAGCAGGCTGCTGGTGGCGGGTTAAGAGGCGTGATGCATGGATGTCCCGGCCAGCCGGCGCCCTCTCTGGCAGTCCCGGGTCGGGGGCCCAGACCGTGGCCCTGGGCCCAGCAGCCCACTGGAGCCCCCCCATGGGGGTCTCTGCTCTCCTGGGGCACCAGTGGCTAGCTCCACCCCCGGCAGCTTCCTAGGCTCCATCTTCTGCAGGCTATAGGCCAACTGCCCACTGAAGTGGCCAATCAGCACCTGCCATTGACAGACCACAGTGATTGGTTCAGAGATGGAGGCGGGACAGAAGCCAGGCCAATGAGAACCAGCCCTGAGATTTTTTGCTTGTTGTGTGGCTGTGTGTGTGTGTGTGTGTGTGTGGCTGTGTGTGCACACGCGTGCGTGTGCATGGGTGGGTGTGCGTGTGTCTGTGTGTGCCTTTGTGGGTAGGTGTCTGCATGCTGATCCTAGGGCTTGAACTCAGGGTCTGGCTGTTATCCTTGGAGGTTTTCCACTCAAGGCTGGAACTCTACCATTTGAACCACAGCTCTACTTCTGTCTTTTTGCTGTTAATTGGTGATAAAGAATGTCAGGTCCTTAGCTGGGCGCTGGTGGCTCACACCTGTCATCCTAGCTACTCAGAAGGCTGAGATCTGAGGATCACAGTTCAAAGCCAGCCCGGGCAGGAAAGTCCGTGAGACTCTGATCTCCAATAAACCACCAGAAAACCCAGAAGTGGCGCTGTGGCTCAAGTGGTAGAGCGCTAGCCTTGAGCTGAAGAGCTGAGGGACAGCGCCAGGCCTAGAGTTCAAGTCCCACGACCAACAACAACAACAACAGAAGTCTCAAGGCCTTTCCTGCCTTGGGCTGGCGTCAGATCTCAGCCTCCTGAGCAGCCAGGATTAGAGGTGTGAGTCTGTGCATTTCACTTTTTTACGACACCTGACTGCAGCCCTGTGCGGTCTCCTCGCTGGTCTTCTGCCCGGTGGGTAAACATACCACCTCGCCTGAACAAGGAGGCCCTGTGCAGGGGCGGGGGGGGGGGGGGGCTGAGGCCCAGGCGCCCTGGTGAGAGCCCCCGTGTCCACGGCCCCCATCTGGAGCCCCAGAAGCTGGGGTGGGGCCCATCCTGTGGTGGGGCCAGGCCCTCAGCCTCCCAACAGCCCGGCCCAGCGCCCCATCCTCCACCTTTGCCCCGAGGCCTGAACAGGGGCCCCTTCTGGGACGCTCCTTGCCAGACTCTGGAGCTTCCAGACGTTAAGTCTTTCTAGAAAATGGCACAGTGGCCAGAGCCTTGAGCCGGCGCCCAGGAGGAGGAGGCCGGGAGGATGGCGAGTTCCAGGCCAGCCTGGGCTGCACGGGACCCTGAGTAAAATAAATGCAATAAAAAGAGGCAGGCTGCCCGACGCCGGCGGTCCCGCCTCTCATCCCAGCTGCTCAGGAGGCTGAGAGCTGAGGACTTGGGTTCGAAGCCAGCCCGGGCAGGAAAGTCCGTGAATCTCTCCTCTCCAATGAGCCCCTGGGAAAATGGAAAGTGGAGCTGTGGCTTCCCTTGTGTGAGAAAGCTCAGGGACAGAGCTCAGGCCTTGCAGTTCGAGCCCCGGGACCGACACCAAAAATGAAAAAGGTGGGGGAAAAGGTGGGTCACCCCGCCTGTCCCGGTGCCCTGGGGCAGAGGCTGCCTGAGCGTGGAGGCCAGCCCCTCCAGCTCAGGGAGGGGACGGGTGGAGGGGGAAGGAAGTCCCCACACCCCACCGAGGCCGTCTACCCAGCTCCTGCTGCTTTCCAGCACACTTTCCCTTTTCGCTCAGGCAGCCAGGGCACCCACGCGTCTCCCGGCAGAGCCGGCGTCTGCCAGGAAGGCCCCCAGGGCCCCATGAAGCAGGCTTCGGCCCCCGTGCCCAGCCTGGCCAGGCTCCCGGAACCACTGGGCCTGGAGTGTTGGGAAGGGGCCTGGCGTGGCGGGAAGGGGCCTGGCGGGTGCAGGCCAGCATTGCTGGGCTGTGGGAAGGGTGGGAGGCCGGGCTGCATGCATGCGTGCGTGCCAGGAGCTGGTGGCTGTGTGAGCTAGGGCGGCACTTGGGGCTATGCCCCAGGCTGATGTTGGGGCAGGTGCTGACCAGCCAGATCACGGTTCAAAGCCAACCCTGGGCAGGACAGTCCGTGAGACTTATCTCCAATGAACAACCAGAAAACCGGCAGTGGCGCTGTGGCTCAAGTGGTAGAGTGAGCACCTTGGGCAAAAGCAGCTCAGGGACAGCGCCCAGGCCCAGAGTTCAAGACCCTTGACCCACACAGCAACCACAAAATAAATCACCTGGACCAGGCAGGCGGCTCGGCCTCCGTGTCTGTCTCCCTGCTGCGGGGAAGGCGGTGGGGTCAGGGAGGCTGTTATTAATAGCCACGGACCAATTGCTGTTGCCTAGTACGTACTTAACTGCAAGCACTAATGACCTCATGTTAATGGGCCTGGGTGTCGTCTCTGTTTATCCTGTCGTTTCTGCCTCCTCCTAGGCTCCTGGGAGACCCCAGGCTGGGGTGGCATGGGAATCTGGTTGTCCAAGGATGGGTTGGGGAACAGAGGGAACAGAGGACGCAAAGGCCGGGAAGACCCCAGTCCTCTCTAAGGAGAAGCAGCCTCTAGAGGGGGCTTCAGGATGGGGGTGATCCAGGAGGCAGGAAGGATCTCCGTGTCTGCTGTGTGCGGGGACGGGACCCCCAGCCCGGCCCCGGAGGTCCTTCGCAGCTCACCTCGCCGCGGCCCCGCCGCAGCTGCGTGAGTCCGGGCCGGCCCTGTGCCCGGCCCTGTGCCTGGCCCGCGGCGGGCCCTGGCTTCCACACCAGGGCAGTGGAATCGCGGTTTTTCTGAGAATTCCGGTGCCAGCGCCCAGAGCAAACCCTTAGGTGCGCCGGGCGCCAAGGAAAACAGGAGGTGAGCTCATGGCAGGACCGGCAGCGGGGATGGGCGCGCTGCACAAGAATGTGCCCGAGCTGGGCCTGTCCCCCCAGCAGCCAACCCCTCCCCACGCCCCCCTCACACCCAGGACACCCCAGCGTCAGCGCCCACACCCTCCCCTCCCCCACACAGCCTAGGCCTCCCCCCGACCCCCGCTGTGTTCTCTTTGCTACCACCTCCAGGAAGCCCTCGGTTAAGTCTCAACTCTGAATGTGACTGTACTTCCCCCTGCCCTGCCTCAGTTTCCCTGTCTACAGAGCACAAGCTATGAGAAAGGGAAGCAGGCAGCCCATTTTCATTACATGGCTGGACAGCGGCTCTGGAAGGACAGACAGAGGGAAAGCGTCAGAGCTCCAGGAGTGGGAGAGGGAGGCCCTGTCCACTGCGCATTTGTGGGGAACCTTCGGCAGGGCTGTGGGGGGGTGGGGCAGGAGCCTGTCCCTGGGGACCAGGGTCCCATGCCACCCACTCACCCTCCCCATTTCCCAGCAACCAAAGGTGTTAGCAATGACAGTACCCACCTGTGCCAGAGGAAACTGAGGCACGGGAAATGAGGCCCCAGCCCGGCTCCACCTGGAGGAAGGGGGGAGGGGGCAGGTGGGGGGACGGGGCAGTGGGGTGGGGAAGCGGGGAGGGGGCAGGGAAGAGTGGGGATGGGGGACGGGAGAGTGGGGCGGGTGGGGGGAGGGGAGGGGGGACGGGGCAGTGGGGCGGGTGGGGGGAGGGGAGGGGGGACGGGGCAGTGGGGCAGGTGGGGGGTGGAGGGCAGGGGGGGGCGGGGTGGGGGGTAGGGGGGACGGGGCAGTGGGGTGGGTGGGGGTGGGGGAGGGGAGGGGGGACGGGGCAGTGGGGCGGGCGGGCAGGTGGGCGGGGGCTGCACCCGGACCCAGGAGCCCCCACATCCAGACCACGCCGCCCGCACCCCAGGCCGGGTGGGGTCACTGTCTTCAGAGGCCCCAGGACTCAGTTTCCCCGCGGGGTCCCGGCTGGGCGGGCTGCGGGCCGCGCCCTTGGACGGAGCGGGCCGTGTTTACCCAGCGGCGGCGCCGGTGGCGGGCGGGGCGGCCGGGCTTAAATAGGCGCCGGGGCTGAGGCGGCCCAGCGCCCGCCGGCCCGCGCCCCGACCGGCCCCGCGCCCCGACCGCCCCGCGCCCCGATCGGCCCGCGTCCCCGATCGCCCCGCGTCCCCGATCGGCCCGCGCCCCGACCGCCCCGCGCCCCGATCGCCCCGCGTCCCCGATCGCCCCGCGCCCCGACCGGCCCGCGCCCCGATCGCCCCGCGCCCCGCGCCCCGACCGGCCCGCGCCCCCGATCGCCCCGCGCCCCGATCGCCCGCGCCCCCGAGCCGCCCGCCGTCCCCGCGCCCCGATCGCCCGCGCCCCGACCGCCCCGCGTCCCCGAGCCTCCCGCCGGCCCGCGCCCCGACCGCCCCGCGCCGCCGAGGCGCCCGCCGCCAAGACCGGCCCCGCGCCGCCATGGCCCGCGCGCTGCTGCTGCTCCTCACCGCCCTGGGCGCCGCCGGCCAAGGCCAGGTCCCGCTCGGTGAGCGCGGGGCGGACGGGGGCTGGGGGTCCCCGTCTGAGAGAAGGGGGGGCTGGGGGTCGCCGTCTGAGAGGAGGAGGGGGCTGGGGAACCCATCTGGGAGGAGGAGGAGGGGGGCTGGGGGTCCCTGTCTGGGAGGAGGAGGGGGCTGGGGGTCCCCGTCTGGGAGGAGGAGGGGGCTGGGGGTCCCCGTCTGAGAGGAGGGCTGGGGGTCCCTGTCTGGGAGGAGGAGGGGGACTGGGGAGCCCGTCTGGGAGGAGGGGGGCTGGGGAGCCCGTCTGGGAGGAGGAGGGGGGCTGGGGGTCCCCATCTGGGAGAAGGGGGGCTGGGGAGCCCGTCTGGGAGGAGGAGGGGGGCTGGGGCTCCCCATCTGGGAGGAGGGGGGCTGGGGAACCCGTCTGGGGGTCGGGCGGGCTCGGGGTCCCCGGCGCCCCACCAGCGCCCCCTGTCGACGCAGGCGGAGACCTGGCCCCGCAGATGCTGCGGCAGCTGCAGGAGACCAACGAGGCGCTGCGGGACGTTCGGGAGCTGCTGCGGCAGCAGGTGCGGGGCGCGGGGCTGAGCGCGCAGCGGGTGCGGGGCGGGCCGCGTGCGGGCGCCGGGCCCCGCGGCCCCAGGGGAGGGGCGCGAGGGTTGCGCCGGGGTGGGGGTCGAGCAGCGACCTCTGACCCCTGACCTCTCCGGTCGCGCAGGTCAAGGAGATCACATTCCTGAAGAACACGGTGATGGAATGCGACGCGTGCGGTGAGCGGCAGCGCCTGGACGGGGCGCGGGGAAGGCGCGGACAGAACGGGAACCCGGGCAGGGACAGGACGGAGAGCGAGGGCATGGGGAGAGGAGGCTCAGCCCGAGGGCAAAGGGGAGACCGAGGGACACGCTAGGGGACACGCGGCGGGGCGAGGCTGAACGGCGCGGCACCCTCCCCACGGCAGGGAGAGTCGCCCCGCCCACGGGGCGTGGTCAAAGGCCCCGCCCACACAACGCGAGCCCCCGGGAGGGGTTGGTTCTAGACAGCCCCGCCCTCAGGAGGGGGAGTGGCCGCGTTAGTTCCGCCCCAGGACGACTAGGATAGGCCGTGCCCGCTCCAGGCCCCGCCCCGCGGGCTCTGACGGCTCCGCCCCGCCCCGCGCAGGGATGCAGCCCGCGCGCACGCCGGGCCTGAGCGTGCGGCCGCTCCCGCTGTGCGCGCCCGGCTCCTGCTTCCCCGGCGTGGCCTGCACGGAGACCGCGAGCGGCGCGCGCTGCGGGCCCTGCCCCGCGGGCTTCACCGGCAACGGCTCGCACTGCACCGACGTTAATGAGGTGCGCGGGGCCCCCTCTTCCTCGACCTGACGCTGCCCCCGCCGCCTCCCCAACACCCTCCCTCCGCCCCGACCCCCCCGTCCTCCGCTGGGGACTCTCCCCCCCACGACCCTGTCCCAGCTGGGGGCGCAGGCCCGGAAGGCGCCCGGGGGCGTCCGCCCCGGCCCGCCCCGCCTCCACCCGCGCCGCCCTCGGCGGCTGCTGACGCCCGGCCCCACGCCGCGCTGCCCGCGGGGGGTGGCCCGTCCCAAGCGCCCGCCGCGCCGCAGGGCGTCCCCGTCCACGCTCCTCACTCCGCGGGCCCACGCCCTCGACGGCTGGCCCAGCTCCTGCCACGCTCCCCCCGCAGGCCGCTCCCTCCCTCCGCGGGGGACGCCCGCCTGGCCCGGTCCCTGCCCGCCCACAGCAATCGGGGGTGACCCCGGGGCCCACGGCCTCCGCCCCCGAGGCGGCCCGCTTCGGGTCCCTCCGACGGCCCGTAGTGTTCCAAGCCCGGGGGGGCTCTGCGCCCTCTGACCCTCCGCGCCCCCCGCCCCAGTGCACCGCGCACCCCTGCTTCCCCCGCGTCCGCTGCGTCAATACCAGCCCAGGGTTCCGCTGCGAGGCCTGCCCGCCCGGCTACAGCGGCCGCACCCACGAGGGCGTGGGGCTGGCCTTCGCCAGGGCCAGCAAACAGGTGAGGGGCGCCGGCCCGCAGCACGGAGGCGGGGGGGGGGGGCCGGAAGCCGAGAGTGACGTGGGCATCCGGGGCCCCTCTCCCCAGGTTTGCACGGACATTAACGAGTGTGAGACCGGGCAGCACAACTGCGTCCCCAACTCCGTGTGCATCAACACCCGGGTAGGAGGCGCGGGCGCGGGCCGGGCGCGGGCCGGGCGCGGGCGGCACTGGGTGACGCCCCCCTCCCCTCCCCTCCGCCGGCCCGCAGGGCTCCTTCCAGTGCGGCCCCTGCCAGCCCGGCTTCGTGGGCGACCAGGCCTCGGGCTGCCAGCGGAGCTCGCAGCGCTCCTGCCCCGACGGCTCACCCAGCCCGTGCCACGAGAAGGCCGACTGCGTCCTGGAGCGCGACGGCTCGAGGACGTGCGTGGTGAGTGCGGGGCGCAGGGCCTGGCGCCGCGGCCTAGGGGTCGGCCACGCCCGGCGCCCACTGACTGCCCCGCCCCGCAGTGCGCCGTCGGCTGGGCCGGCAACGGGCTCCTCTGCGGCCGGGACACGGACCTGGACGGCTTCCCGGATGAGAAGCTGCGCTGCTCCGAGCGGCACTGCCGGAAGGTGGGCGGGGCCAGAGAGCCCGGAAGTGGGGCGTGGCGTGGACGCGACCACGCCCCTCACACCCTCCGTGCCCACCCCCAGGACAACTGCGTGACCGTGCCCAACTCGGGGCAGGAGGACGTGGACCGCGATGGCGTGGGAGACGCCTGTGACCCGGATGCGGATGGGGATGGGGTCCCCAATGAGCAGGTGGGGCATGGGCGGGGCATAGGCGAGTGAGGGGGCGTGGTCGGGGCGGGGCCCTGGCGAGGGGCGGGGCCGGGGAGCAGCCGGTCCGGGAAGTGGTGTTCGCGTGCCCGGCCCCATTTCACCGGCGCCGCCGCCTCCAGGACAACTGCCCGCTGGTGCGGAACCCGGACCAGCGCAACTCGGACAGCGACAAGTGGGGCGACGCGTGCGACAACTGCCGCGCCCAGAAGAACGACGACCAGAAGGACACGGACCGGGACGGCCGGGGGGACGCCTGCGACGACGACATCGACGGGGACCGTGAGCCCGGCTGGGGCGCGGGGCGTTCCGGGGTTTCCAGGGCCCCGGCTGGGGGGCGCGGGGCGTTCCGGGGTTTCCAGGGCCCGGCTGGGGGGCGCGGGGCGTTCCGGGGTTTCCAGGGCCCGGCTGGGGGGCGCGGGGCGTTCCGGGGTTTCCAGGGCCCCGGCTGGGGGGGGCGCGGGGCGTTCCGGGGTTTCCAGGGCCCCGGCTGGGGGGGCGCGGGGCGTTCCGGGGTTTCCAGGGCCCCGGCTGGGGGGGCGCGGGGCGTTCCCGGGTTTCCAGGGCCCCGGCTGGGGGGGCGCGGGGCGTTCCGGGGTTTCCAGGGCCCCGGCTGGGGCGCGGGGCGTTCCGGGGTTTCCAGGGCCCCGGCTGGGGGGCGCGGGGCGTTCCGGGGTTTCCAGGGCCCCGGCTGGGGGGGCGCGGGGCGTTCCGGGTTTCCAGGGCCCCGGCTGGGGGGGCGCGGGGCGTTCCGGGGTTTCCAGGCTGGCGGCGGGGGCGGGGGGCGCCGCGTCCCGGTCCCTGGGCAGCCACGCTGGGGCCCCGCAGCCGTCCTGGCTGGACTGGGGCCTAGCGCCCGTGCTGTTCCTCCGCAGGGATCCGAAACGAAGCGGACAACTGCCCCCGGGTGCCCAACGCAGACCAGAAGGACAGCGACCGCGACGGGGTAGGGGACGCCTGCGACAACTGTCCGCAGAAGGACAACCCGGACCAGGTGAGGGCCCGGCCCGGGAGCAGGGCCTCGGGGTCCCAGCTGCGGGCTGTGGCGCCGGGGGGCGCGCACAAGGCCATGCTGACCCCGGGTCCTGCCCCTGCCCCTCCAGAGGGACGTGGACCACGACTTCGTGGGAGACGCGTGTGACAGCGACCAAGACCAGTGAGAGTGGGCCGCGGGGGCGGCGGCCGGCGGCGCTCAGTGCCCCAGCGGCGCTCACCGTGTCGGTGCCCCCCTCCTCCACTCCAGAGACGGGGATGGGCACCAGGACTCCCGGGACAATTGTCCCTCAGTGCCGAACAGCGCCCAGCAGGACTCAGACCACGACGGCCAGGGCGACGCATGTGACGAGGACGATGACAACGACGGAGTCCCCGACAGTCGGGACAACTGTCGCCTGGTGCCCAACCCGGGCCAGGAGGATTCAAATGGTATGGCAGGGGCGGGCCCGTCGGTGGGCGGGGCGGGGCCGTCGGGGTGGGGCGCGGCCCTGGGCGGGGCCCGTCGGTGGGCGGGGCCGGGCCGTCGATGGCGGGGCGGGGCTGGGGGGAGAGGGGGACTGTCGGGGCGGGGCCGTCACCAGGGGGCGGCCTGTCACCCACCTGCTCCCAGGGGACGGCGTGGGCGACGTGTGTCAGGACGACTTCGACGCCGACAAGGTTGTGGACAAGATTGACGTGTGTCCGGAGAACGCGGAGGTCACCCTCACCGACTTCCGGGCCTTCCAGACGGTCGTGCTGGACCCGGAGGGGGACGCGCAGATTGACCCCAACTGGGTGGTGCTCAATCAGGTGGGGAGGGCTGCAGGGCGGCGGTGTCGGGGTGCCCAGGACCCCCACCCGCAGGGCCCGGGCGCCATGGTGGCTCCGAGACCTTCTTTTTCCTTTGGCCGTATCAGGGCATGGAGATCGTGCAGACCATGAACAGCGACCCGGGCCTGGCCGTAGGTGAGACCCTGCGAGGCGCAGCCAGCCCTGGAGGGAGCCATGTGCGGGGCTGGCGGGCGTGGCCTCAGGGTCCTGTCTGTGGGTGGGGTTCTGGAGGGGAGGGGCTGGGGGCGTGGCCGGGCAAGCCGGGGATGGGCGGGGCCTGGCAGGCATGTGAGGGGCGGGGCATGCCCAGGGGGTGGGTCGCCGCGGAGGGGCGGGGCCAGCGGGGCCTGTGGCGGGCTGGTGGGACGAGGCGGGGCGCGGGGTCTGCGTCGCGGGCCCGTGGGGCTCAGGCAGGGCCGGCCTGGCCATCACAGCCCTCTCTCGCCCCCTCCTCAGGTTACACGGCCTTCAATGGCGTGGACTTCGAGGGCACGTTCCACGTGAACACCGCCACGGACGACGACTATGCGGGCTTCATCTTCGGCTACCAGGACAGCTCCAGCTTCTACGTGGTCATGTGGAAGCAGATGGAGCAGACGTACTGGCAGGCCAGCCCCTTCCGCGCGGTGGCCGAGCCGGGCATCCAGCTCAAGGTGCCGGTGCTCCCCACACCCCCGCTTCCGCCGCCCTCCATCCCAGTCCTTCACGTCCCCTCCTTAGAGCCCTGAAGACCTGATGTGACCCCGCTCCCCCGGGGCCTGTCCATCGACTCAGGTCCTCCCTTGGCCCCCGCCGCCGTCCTGTGCGCCCCGCGGGTGTCTGACCCCTGTCCCTGCGCTGCAGGCGGTGAAGTCCGTCACGGGCCCCGGCGAGCAGCTGCGGAACGCGCTGTGGCACACGGGGGACACCGAGTCCCAGGTGCGCCTGCTGTGGAAGGACCCCCGCAACGTGGGCTGGAAGGACAAGACGTCCTACCGCTGGTTCCTGCAGCACCGGCCCCAAGTGGGCTACATCAGGTGGGGTGGGGCCGGGCGCCGCGGGGCTGGGCGGAGAGGCGCGGGGGTGTGTGCGGGTGTGTGCGGGTGTGCGGCCGCCGGGCGCTCCCGGGCGCAGGCCGCCCCGCCTGACCCTCTCCACGTGGCAGGGTGCGGTTCTATGAGGGCCCCGAGCTGGTGGCCGACAGCAACGTGGTCCTGGACACCACCATGCGGGGCGGCCGCCTCGGGGTCTTCTGCTTCTCCCAGGAGAATATCATCTGGGCCAACCTCCGGTACCGCTGCAACGGTGAGTGGGGACGAGGGGGCGTGGCCCGAGGGGGGCGTGGCCGCGTGGGGCGTGGCCCGGGGCGGGGCCGGGGTGGAGCCGCCCAGCGCTCTGAGCGTCTCCCACCTGTGACCCTCTGTCTCTGTCTGTCTGTCTTTCTCTCGCAGACACCATTCCGGAAGACTACGAGGCCCAGCGGCTGCGCCAGGCCTAGAGACCCCTGTGCCGGCCCTGATGAGGGAAGGCCTCACCGCGCCTGGCGCGGAGCCGGCGCCAGCCGCGGGGCGGCCCCCGGGGGCCGGGAGAAGGGCGCAGAGGCCAATAAAGTATGCGAGGGGGCGAGTCGGCTGTGGTGCGTGCGTGCGGCCCCTCCGCGGCCTGCGGGGTCCAGGTGCTCCGGACTGACCCCCTCAGGGACAGGGTGGAGGCTCAGGAAGGACGAGCCGGCGCCGAAAACGTTTCATTTTTATTACATTACAAAGGATGCAGACGTACAAAGACAAGCCCTCACCAGAGGCTGGGGTGCGGCCGACCCCCGCCCGCCCGCCCGCCGCGGCACCCACGGAGGGGCCTCGCGTGGGTCTGGCGTGTGCATGCTGGGGTAGAGCCAGGCGTGGGGGGCACAGGCCGGGCAGGCTCTGATGGGTGCGTTTGCATCTGTCAGGGGCCCACCCAGGTACCAGAGCAGAGCCTGCGTCCGGATGCAAGGCCGTGGCGCTGCCCCAGGTCCTCCATGGCCGGGGCGTGTGGCAGGCTGGGCTGGGGCAGGCTGGGTATGGAGGGCCCCCAGATGCGAGCACATTGCAAGGTGGGGCTCCCCCAGACTCAGCCACCTGCCCCTGGGTCCCAGGAAGGGGGACATGGGCAGAGCCAGCAGCCAGCACCATCCCATGGCCCTGACCTACCCAAGCTGCTGGGAGGGGACCTGTGGGACCAAGAAATCACAGGGGAAACTGAGGCACAGGTCACCTGGGGCTCACTGCTGACCCTGTGTTGTTGAGAGTACCCCCGCGCCCATGGCGCCCCATCTCCTGCCTCCAGGGGTGAACAGCAGATGTGCCACAGTTGGGGCTGAAGTCTCTGCTCCAGGGGCATCCTGGGGCGCCAGCAGACCGGGCAGCCCTGTAGGAGCGGGGCCCGGGGACACGGGGGACCAAGGCGCCATCTCCCCAGGCCACGGGCCCCGGCTCCTGCCACCAGGTCTCCCACACCAGATTAGAGGTTGTCTTTGGAAATTCACAACACTCAGAATGCAGGCCTGGGCAAGGTGTGGAGGAGGGTGCGAGGGACCCTTCGGGAGCAGGCAGGACACGGGCAGCTGCCCCAGCTCCCTGAGCCCTTCTCCCCTGCCCCCAGCATCACCTGACTGTCTCATGGGACAGGGCCCGGAGCTGCCCTGGAGGACAGTTGCTGGCACAGCCCACTGGGTGAGGGACAGGGACAGAGGGCTGACCCTGGCCCTTAAGCCTCAGGAGAAGCAAACCCACTTCCCTAGTGTCCTGGAGGGTAAACTGAGGCCAGGATGCCTGTCTTGCTTCTGTCTGGCAGAGGGGTGGCCCCCACCCCAGCAGGCCAGAGGACACGGGTGGCTTGCACTTCCCATGTGGCCTCTCCCAAACAGCGGGGTTCTCCTGTCTAAAGGAAAGGGCCGAATCCCACCCATTGTCTTCTGGAAAAAAAAAAGTCCAGGCAATTCAGGAATATTTCACCAAGGAGATCTATAAGCCAGATGCAAAGCCCACAACATCTCTGCCACGGAGTCAGGAGAGCTGCTTAGCCTCAAAGAGCATGGATGCTTCTAGAAGGAGAATGTGGGGCTGCCGGTCCCCGGGCTAAGGAAGGCCCTGCCTGTCTGGGAATTCCAGGTCATCCTTTGGGAGCACTTCATGGGGTCCCCGTGTGCCAGCTGCGAGGGGGGGGGGGAGGAAGGGCCTGGCAGGATTCCCAGGCCAGATTTGAGAACTGCATCCACGCAGGTTGCGCGTGAGCTTATTAAGGCCAGTTTTTGTTTTTTTGGAAAAGTTCTACACACGAGTCTGATGGCACTCGAACCACCTCTGCACATGTAGATTTCCCTAAAAAAATGTCCCATTCTGTGCCCAGCCTCCACTGCACAAGCGTGGGCTGAGCCCTGGGCCAGCGGCCAAACAGCAGGGTGGTGGCAGGTGTCCGGGGTGGCCGGGAGATGCCCGCCGTGGCCACCTGGCTGCTTGGGGTGAGGGAGGGGGGGAAGGGCAGACAGAGCTGGCCTGGTGCTGTGACACCAGGGGAAGTGGGAGGGGCCTCGAGGTCAAGGTCCAACCAGGGAGGGGAAACCCCTCACTTCACCTCCCACGGGAGGGAATGGCCGGCCCCATGCCCTGCATCCCGTCCCCCTGCCCACTGAGTCCCGTGCACTGCCCCAGGACCCTGGCCTCCCAGGGTCCCTCAAGAAGAGCCAAAATGGTTACACACAGCCCCGCAGGCCAGCCCCGAGGCCCGCATGGCCTCCCGCCAGTCCCGGCCAGGCGCCGGCCCTGCCGCCGCCCTCCCTCTTCTTCCGGAAGAACCTGGGGGCCAAAACCCCAGAGCCAGACTTGGGGCTTGTGAGCCTCGTTTCCAGGCAGCGTCAGGATGGGACAGAGGGGTGCGGGTGATAAAACATGCGCGCAGGCGTGCGGCCGGAAACGATCGGCTAGTGTCTACAACGAAAATGTAAATAGAAACGGAGAGGGAGGCGCAGGACGCAGCCCCACGCAAAGACGCCCGCTGGGGCGGGCCCCAAATAACAGCATCGTGGAGGGCAGGGTGCCACGGGAACGGGCTGGGCCGGCTGGCCCGCACCCCGACACTCCGCCCGCCCCCCCGGGGCCCCAGGGGTGTCAGGGCGGGCGCCTGCGGGTCCACTCTGCCCTGTGCCAGGCTCCGTGGAGAGTGAGAGCGGAGACAGTCAGGAAGACCCGGCCCGGCCCTGCAGGCCCAGCCCACGAGCGCGCACGCGCCCAGTCTTGGCAGTGGGGTGGAGGGGACCGGTCGGGGCCCGGTCCCTGCAGCCAGCGAGCGTCAGCGGGAGGATGGCCAGGCCAGGCCGGCGGGACGCTGGCAGCGCTGTAAGCTCAAATCACAAGCTCAGCCTTGGCGGGGACAGACAGACGGAGCGTGGCCGTCCCCCCGCTGGGGGCGCGTGTTGGAGAGCACTGCGCCGTGGCTGCTCACAGGCGGTCCATCCGGAAGGTGTCCTCCGTGGCCGGGTCGGCCAGGACCATGTCCGGGTCGTTGAGCATGTGCAGGCCGTCCAGGGTCAGGGGGTCGATCTTCAGCTCGTCCAGGGGGAACTGGCTGTCAGTGTCGAAGCTGACGTCACTGACTCCAGCCAGGGAGCCAGTCAGTTCTTTAGACAGGCTCGGGGGGGACTCGCCAGTCACTGGGGATGAGACAGACGGCTTACCCTGGGTGGCCAATGCCGGGCTGCACGGGCCCCGAGGGAGGGGGCCAGCCGCGGTGGGCTGGCGGCCTCCAGCCCCGGCGACTGATGCCAACGCCACAGCGCTCCTTGCCAGGCAGAGGAGGCGAGCTGGGGAGGGGAGGCCCCGTCCCCGCCCTGCTCCCGCCAGGCTGGCTCGTCTGCACCGGGGCTGGTGCTCACGGTGCCCGCCTGCCCAGGTCACAAGCCTGGGGCCGCCGGGAACCTTCACCACCTGCTGCGCGCAGGGAGGGCCGGGCGCAGGCCACAGGGCCCTGAGCATGGATCCCTCTACCCTGGCAAAGCCAGGGGCGCCTGCCAGGCAGAGGTGAGTCCCCTCAGGCGCTCCTGATCTGTTGTCCTGGCTCCTAAGGAAAAGCTAGAGCCCTTCGTGGAGTGTGGCCTGCGTCCCCTCCCCAGTGGCTGTCCCCGGTGGCCGCCTCTCCCCCCGATGCGCTCACCTGTGAGGATGATGTTGGGGATGCTGCCGTGGCTGGCGTAGCCCAGGGGAGGTGCGTCCTGCAGGGTCCCATGGCTGCCTGTAAGGCCCATCATGGTGGCTTGCGAGTAGCTGAGCGCCGCGCCTGGGCTGTAGAGGGCGCTGGAGCCCAGTGCACTCTCCATCATGTTGAACTGCTCAAGCTGGGGCGGGGTGTGGAGGGGAAGACAGCGGTGAGTAGGGGGAGGGGCGCCTCCCCTTTGGGGAGCCTGAGGGTCCAAGCTGCAGGGCAGTGCCCCCATCCAGGGCCTCTCTCTGCTCTCAAGGTACAGTGGATGGGTGGATGGATGGATGGGAGGACAGATGGATGGGAGGACAGATGGATGGACAGGTGGATGGGTGGGTGGGTGGGTGGCTGGCTGGAGGATAGACAGATTGATGGATGGGAGAATGGGTGGGTGGATGGATAGATGGATGGGAGGATGGATGGATGGGAGGATGGATGATGGAAGGGTGGGTGGGTGAGTGGATGGGAGGAGGGTGGGTGGGTGGATGGACGGGTGGGATAGACGGATGGGTAGGTGGAGGATGGAGGGATGATGGAAGGATGGGTGGGTGGATGGGAGGATGGTGGGTAGGTGGGTGGATGGATGAATGGGAGGATGGAGGGATGAATGGAAGGATGGATGGATGGGAGGATGGTGGGTGGGTGGGTGGATGGATGAATGGGAGGATGGAGGGATGAATGGAAGGATGGATGGATGAGAGGATGGTGGGTGGACGCATGGAAGGGTGGGGTAGACGGATGAGTGACCAACTCCACATCCCTGCAGTTCCTCCCAGCCTCCAAGCCCTGAGCATGGCAGTCTGCACTGAGGCTGCTGCCTGGTGCCAGGCCTTGACCTCCATCTGCTGCAGGTACCAAAGCCAAGGCCTCCCCTGGCTGCCTAAAGACAGGAAGGGGCAGGGGGCGGGGAGGGGGCGGGCGCGCGGGCAGCCGGGCGCCGCTCACTCACCTGGTGGGACAGTGCGTTGGCCTGCCGGGCGGCCATCTGCTGCTCATAGTACGCGTCTCCAAACACGCCGGCCAGGCCCGAGGAGTGCTGCCGAGGAAGAGGGGCTGTGGGGAGGCCCAGGACCCTGCCTGCCCCATGCCACGTGGGGAGGCAGCCGCCTGACTGTACCCCAACCTGGGGCGGGATGGGGAGGGACGGCTAGCCTGCCTGTGTCTGGTGGTGGAGCACAGCTGGCTGGCCCTTGTGGGGGCCGGGGGCTTGGCTGCTGCCCTCTCCCTGGCCCGCACGGGCATGTCCTCCCTACCCCTGGCTACTATCTGGACTTCTAGAAAGATCTCAGTGTGCTCAGGACTTGGCCACAGAGTGGTGCCCGCTTGACCGCTCCCTACAAACTCCAGCAAGCAGTCATTTGGGGATGGCTGCGGGACAGGCCGCCAAGAGGGGAGAGCGTGGGCGGATGGGCTCCCCACACCCACAGGGGAAGCAGCATGTGGGGGGAGGGGCAGGGGAGTCGGGGAGGGACTGGGTCCTAAGGCTGAGAGCACCCCTGGCCCCTCCACAGACCCCCGTGGCAGAGACGGACGGACGGACGGATACACACATGGGGCCCAGGGAGAGGCTGCTCTTTTAGCCTCCCCCCACCCGCCCCCGAGTGGCCTGGCACCGCCCCCCGGCAGGTCCCTGGAGTGCGGGCAGCCCGTGCCCCGTCCACCTGGCTCCAGGACTGAGGGACGGGGGCGGATGCTACCAAGGCAGGGACAGGACAGACCACCGTGGGGCAGAGGCCGAGGCAGGAGGGCGCGGGCGCCTGGCACACACGCACGCACACACACACGCACGCACACACGCGCACGCACATACGCACGCATGCACACGCGCACACACATGCGCACACACGCACACGCACACAGGCACGCGCACACAGGCACGCACACACGCGCTCCCCTTGCAGGCAGAACGGCACGGTGGGGTGCCCGCTGAGTGTGCAGGCGCCACGGGCCTCACCTGCGGGGAGCTCCCGGGGGAGAAGCCAGGGTTGGAGACGGGTGAGGTGGGCGACTGGTTGGCCGGGGAGCTGGCGCCCGTGCGGTACTGCTGCAGAGCCGGTGCCTGCGGCGACAGACGGGAGGGCTCAGCACTGCTGGGCGTCCAGGGAGCCTTGGGGTCCCCAGAGCTGAGGGGCAGGCAGCTGGTAGGACAGGCGGCTGGGGGGGCAGGCGGCTGGGGTGGGGGCAGGCGGCTGGGGGGGCAGGCGGCTGGGGTGGGGGCAGGCGGCTGGGGGGGCAGGCGGCTGGGGTGGGGGCAGGCGGCTGGGGGGGCAGGCGGCTGAGGGGGCAGGCGGCTGGGGGGGGCAGGCGGCTGGGGTGAGGGCAGGCGGCTGGGGGGGCAGGCGGCTGGGGTGGGGGCAGGCGGCTGGGGTGGGGCAGGCGGCTGGGGTGGGGGCAGGCGGCTGAGGGGGCAGGCGGCTGGGGGGGCAGGCGGCTGGTGGGACAGGCGGCTGGGGTGGGGGCAGGCGGCTGGGGTGAGGGCAGGCGGCTGGGGGGGCAGGCGGCTGGGGTGAGGGCAGGCGGCTGGGGGGGCAGGCGGCTGGGGTGGGGGCAGGCGGCTGGGGTGGGGCAGGCGGCTGGGGTGGGGGCAGGCGGCTGAGGGGGCAGGCGGCTGGGGGGGCAGGCGGCTGGTGGGACAGGCGGCTGGGGTGGGGGCAGGCGGCTGGGGTGAGGGCAGGCGGCTGGGGGGGCAGGCGGCTGGGGTGAGGGCAGGCGGCTGGGGTGGGGGCAGGCGGCTGGGGGGGCAGGCGGCTGGGGTGGGGGCAGGCGGCTGGGATGGGGGCAGGCGGCTGGGGTGGGGGCAGGCGGCTGGGGGGGCAGGCGGCTGGGGTGGGGGCAGGCGGCTGGGGTGGGGGCAGGCGGCTGGGGGGGCAGGCGGCTGGGGTGAGGGCAGGCGGCTGGGGGGGCAGGCGGCTGGGGTGGGGGCAGGCGGCTGAGGGGGCAGGCGGCTGGGGGGGCAGGCGGCTGGTGGGACAGGCGGCTGGGGTGGGGGCAGGCGGCTGGGGGGGCAGGCGGCTGGGGTGGGGGCAGGCGGCTGGGGTGGGGGCAGGCGGCTGGGGGGGCAGGCGGCTGGGGTGAGGGCAGGCGGCTGGGGGGGCAGGCGGCTGGGGTGGGGGCAGGCGGCTGAGGGGGCAGGCGGCTGGGGGGGCAGGCGGCTGGTGGGACAGGCGGCTGGGGTGGGGGCAGGCGGCTGGGGTGAGGGCAGGCGGCTGGGGGGGCAGGCGGCTGGGGTGAGGGCAGGCGGCTGGGGGGGCAGGCGGCTGGGGTGGGGGCAGGCGGCTGGGGGGGCAGGCGGCTGGGGTGGGGGCAGGCGGCTGGGGTGGGGGCAGGCGGCTGGGGTGGGGGCAGGCGGCTGGGGGGGCAGGCGGCTGGGGTGAGGGCAGGCGGCTGGGGGGGCAGGCGGCTGGGGTGGGGGCAGGCGGCTGAGTGGGCAGGCGGCTGGGGGGGCAGGCGGCTGGTGGGACAGGCGGCTGGGGTGGGGGCAGGCGGCTGGGGTGAGGGCAGGCGGCTGGGGGGGCAGGCGGCTGGGGTGAGGGCAGGCGGCTGGGGGGGCAGGCGGCTGGGGTGGGGGCAGGCGGCTGAGGGGGCAGGCGGCTGGTGGGACAGGCGGCTGGGGTGGGGGCAGGCGGCTGGGGTGAGGGCAGGCGGCTGGGGGGGCAGGCGGCTGGGGTGGGGGCAGGCGGCTGGGGGGGCAGGCGGCTGGGGTGGGGGCAGGCGGCTGGGATGGGGGCAGGCGGCTGGGGGGGCAGGCGGCTGGGGTGGGGGCAGGCGGCTGGGGGGGCAGGCGGCTGGGGTGGGGGCAGGCGGCTGGGGTGGGGGCAGGCGGCTGGGGTGGGGGCAGGCGGCTGGGGGGGCAGGCGGCTGGGGTGGGGGCAGGCGGCTGGGGTGGGGGCAGGCGGCTGGGGGGGCAGGCGGCTGGGGTGAGGGCAGGCGGCTGGGGGGGCAGGCGGCTGGGGTGGGGGCAGGCGGCTGAGGGGGCAGGCGGCTGGGGGGGCAGGCGGCTGGTGGGACAGGCGGCTGGGGTGGGGGCAGGCGGCTGGGGGGGCAGGCGGCTGGAGTGGGGGCAGGCGGCTGGGGTGGGGGCAGGCGGCTGGGGGGGCAGGCGGCTGGGGTGGGGGCAGGCGGCTGGGGGGGCAGGCGGCTGGGGTGAGGGCAGGCGGCTGGAGGGGTGTGGAGGGCGGGATTCAAGGCCTGGCCAGAGCCAGGAAAGGTCCCAGCTCAATGAGCACCAAGGGGAGGCGGGGGATCCCCGCAGGTTGGAGGCAGACACCCAGACACACGGGCTCCTGAGACACACGGGACCTCATGCCTGCGCAGGCGATGCGCGTGCACGGTACACACGTGAGCACGCAGGGCTCACAGTCACTGCAGGGCTGGTGTGGACCGACCTGCAGCCCACGTGCTGGCACGCGCCGTGTCGGCCCACCCCCACCGCCACGCCTGCGTGCCTGCCCACCCGTGCTGCGGGGGGTGGGGGCTGCCGCTGCCCCGGCCGGGTGCCGTGCTGTGGGCTCTGCCATGTCCCCGATCGGATGGCAGTAGGGAAGTCAGGGTGACTTCTGGGTCAGAGGATGGAGGGCAGGCTGCCCGGGAGAACCGGCATCTGGGGCCCGAGATACACGGCATTCGAGTCCCCAATGGCTGCCCTCCCGTGACAAGCAGGGCCTGGCTCCTACCGCAGCCTCCCCTTCCATGCAACTACGCCCCCTAGCTTGGTGTCCAAGTGGTAATCCCTGCCCAGTGCCCGGCCCGGGCAACGTCAGGACAAACACCCCCTGTCCCTTGCCCCTCGCCAGGCCCCGCGGGACCCCAACCCCACGTACCGAGGCCATGTCCATCCCCATGGAAGTCTGGCCCGAGGCGTCTGGGGGGGACTGGGGGAGGGAGGACGGCGCAGTGGCGGTCAGCGGGGGCAGCTGCGGGCCTCGTGTCAGGCTAGCGCTGGGCATCAGGGGTCCACCTGCAGGGAGGCCAGCTGACACCTGCGGGGGCGGCGGCGGCTGCGGGGCAGCGGGCGGCGGGGGTGGGGGGGGGCGGCGGCGGGGGCGGCGGCTGGGGGCCGGCCTGAGTGAAGAAGGTGTAAGGTAGCTGCTGCTCCAGAGACAGGGCGTCCATGGCCACGGCCTGCGGAGGACAGGGCAGGTTGGTACCAGGGACCTCACCCAGGGCCGCGGGCCCCGCCGGGCGCGCACCTAGCCAGCTGCACCCAGGAGGCGCTGCCGGGGCCCCCAGGCCTCCTGGCCACTATGGGTAGACACAAGACGGCCACACTAGAATCCCAGTACAGGGCTCACCCCACCCCACCCCAAACGTCTCCGGAAAGCTCTGGGGGCAGGTGACACGGTGGTCACTTGGTGAGGAGAGGCTCCAGACATTTCTGGAGAGAGAGAAGACAAAGGAAGTTTGGGCAAATTTATGGCCAGGAAATGAGAGAAAGGAGACAGAGAGAGGGCGGGGGAGGGAGGAAGGGGGAGAGGGGGAGGGGGAGAGAGGGGGAGGGGGAGAAGGTGTGTGTGTGTGTGTGTGTACATGTATGTATGTGGGTAATAACTGCAATTGGATATGTTTAGAAAAACAAAAACTTGACGGAGGAGCTGGTGGCTCACACCTGTAGTCCCAGCTACTCAGGAGGTGAGATCTGAGGATTGTGTGTCAAAGCCAGCCCAGGCAGGGACGTCTGGGAGACTTTCTCCAATTAACCACCAAAAATGTATGTGGAGCTGGGGCTCAAGTGGAAGGCGCCAGCCCCAAGCACAAAGCTGGCTCAGGGGCAGCGCCCAGGCCCCGAACGGAAGCCGAGGAGCAGCAGAAAAGCAAGGAAATGAAAAGAACAAAAGCCAACCTGGAGACAAACACGCATACATATATACATGTATGCACACGAATACACACGCTCACTTTTTTCTTTGACGTTTTGCTGATAATGCGACACCTTAGCAGAGCACTGGACCCTCGAACCCACCCTGCCCCCCACCCGGCCCCCCACCCTGCCCCCCACCCTGGCCCCCACCCGGCCCTCACACTGGACCCTCGAACCCACCCTGCCCCCCACCCTGGCCCCCACCCGGCCCTCACACTGGACCCTCGAACCCACCCTGGCCCCCACCCGGCCCTCACACTGGACCCTCGAACCCACCCTGCCCCCCACCCTGGCCCCCACCCGGCCCTCACACTGGACCCTCGAACCCACCCTGGCCCCCACCCGGCCCCCCACCCTGCCACCCACCTGGCCCTCACACCTGAGTTATGGGAGACAGGGGGGACAAGGTGGGTGACACCTGCTGGGCCTGCTGCCGCCTGGCCTCGGTGCTCAGGGACAGGGGGCTGCCGCCGGAGGCCCGGTGCTGTGGAGAGGAGCTGGGCGTGCTCATCCCTGGGAGGAAGACAGACAGAGAAGGGAGGCCAGGTGAGGGAGGCCCGGCCACACCCCAAAGGGGCGTGTCTGCAGGCCTGGCCAATCAGCACTTCTCAATTTCTGGAGGAAATTGATTGCCCTCTAGGCATGTGACCAGGCTGGTCCAATGGGAGTCTGCCCAGGGACTTTGGGTATTATTCCAGGAAGGGCTGGCACCCCAGGTAAGGTGAAGTGTCTCGGGAAGGCTGGGGGACAGACACAGAAGGGGTGGGATTTCCTGGCTAGAGACGGGAATCCCTCCCTGGCTTAGAGGCGTCGGGCGGATGACTGACCGACACGGCACCGGCGTGCCGCTGCGCCTCACCGACCGCAAGGCTCTCCTTGTGCCTCGCCCAGCCTCCCCATGCCCCCCAGCCACCCCAGGGCTCCTCCTCCTGCCTCTCCTTGCTGGGGACCCTCACATGCCCCGAGCCTTGGCTCCCAGTGCTGACTGCCGCCCGCGGAGGGCACAAAGAGAGAACGTGGGTGGTGCCCGGGCCTGCCGGCTTCTCCCAGGGCCGCAGGCCAAGTGCTCGGCAGCCTTTTGATGACAGGTGGGCCCAGGCCCCACTGGACCCCTGCTCACCCCAAGACCCAGCTCCCTCACTGGGAGATGGAGATGGTTACCATCATCTGCTGGGGTCTGCCACAAGGCCCCAAGGTCACGGGTGGGCAGAGGCTCTGGTGGGCAGTGCTCAGCCGCAGATGGGGCCGTGGAGGCCCCGCACGGGGCCGTGTCCCGGCAGGCGGTTGGCAGCTGCGGGAACACACCCAGCGCGTGCCGGGGAGGTGACGTGGGGCCACCTTCTGCGCCCTGGGCAGCCGCTCACCGGGCGAGCTCGGGCGTGCCTGCCCTCCTCCCCAGACCTGCCAGCCACGCCTGGCCCGGCGCCCGGGAACGGGGCACAGCACCTGCTACCCTGCCAAGCCCCCAACCGCGGCATCGCAATACCATCAGGGCCTTGGTGGTTCCGGGTGCCCACCAGGCTGGCATCGGAGCCATCCCAGGGAGCTGGAGGGGTCCCGGCGGGGAGCAGGGTCAGGGCAGAGCCAGGCGGCAGGGCAGGGCAGGGCCTGAGGCGGACAGGAGCGGGGCCACCCAACCTGCTCTGGGCTTCCCAACTCCACAGAAAGGACAGGGCCGGTGCCGGTGGCTCACATCTGTCACCCCAGCCTCTCAGAGATCTGAAAATCAAGGTTCAAAGCCAGCCCAGCAAGAAAGTCTGTGCGACTCTTATCTCCAATTAGTCAGCAAAGAAGCTGGAAGCAGAGCTCTAGCCTTGAGGGAAAAAGCTAAGGGACAGCACCCAGGCCCCGAGTTTAAGTCCTAGTGCTAGTGTGTACACACGCACACACACACACACACACACACATCCTCCTCCCTCCCTCCCAGGGCACCACCAGCTGGCCCGAGCGAGCAGACTTAATCCCATGCTGGCGGGCCAGGCTCCAGGCTGGTGTGGGGTGACCACCAGCCCCAGAGCGGCCAGGTGGGCAGGATGCAGCCAGCTGGCGAGGAGGTGCAGGGTGGGCAGGTGGCAGGCCCGTGGCACGCAAGCCCTGCTGGGGGGCAGGGCAGCAGGGCAAGTACCAGGGGGGACACCGCCGGCCGCCGCCCTCGGGCCAGCATCCAGGGTGCAGCCACTGCCACCTTACTAGTGTGTGTGTGCGTGTGTATACACCACCGGCTGCAGCCCTCGGGCCAGCATCCAGGATGCTAGCATGTGTGTGTGTGTACACCGCCGGCCGCTGCCCTCGGGCCAGCATCCAGGGTGCTAGCGTGTGTGTGTGTGTGTGTGTGCAGTGTGTGTGTGTGTGCAGTGCGTGTGTGTGTGTGTACACCGCCGGCCGCTGCCCTCGGGCCAGCATCCAGGGTGCTAGCGTGTGTGTGTGTGTGTGTGTGTGTGTGTGTGCAGTGTGTGTGTGTCAGTGCGTGTGTGTGTGTGTGTGTGTGTGTGTGTGTGTGTACACCTCCGGCCGCCTGCCCTCCAGCCAGCATCCAGGGTGCTAGCGTGTGTGTGTGTGTGTGTGTGTGCGTGTGTGTGTGCATGTGGACTCTCTGGAGTCCACACATTCAATTTAGGAGACAGAAAGCAAGAAAGCCCAGCCTGGGAGTCGGCTGGTGTACAGCAGCGCTGGCACGCGTGCCAGTCTGCCGGGCCCAGGGTGGGTGTGGGCACGGTTGCCTATGTGCTGTTTTCTCGTCCAGGTATGTTTAGGCTGTGCCGGGTGCCAGGCCCTGCCCCGGCCAGGCCAGGCATGGTGGCCCAGGGTGCACGTCTGGTTCTCACCGGGCCCAGGGTGGCGGCACACACCAGCTGCCAGCCAGGTCTGGGCCGTGCTCTGCCCCGTGCGGGGGGCTGGGCCCGGGCGGCGCCCGCATCGTGGGGAGAGGGGCTCACTCAGCCCACGGCAACCCTGGGCTGTCGGGGCACAGCCCATCCCATGCCTGCTGCCCATTCCCCACGGGTGCCCAGATTTCACCCCAGCTCCCCTGCCCCAGTCACCCCGCACTTCTGCAAAACAGCCAGCAGGTGTAACTGGCGCAGGTCCCAGCCCGAGCCCCTCCCACGGCCGCAGGGAGGTGCCCTGCGCACCTGCGTCAGAGGGGACGCTGCAATCCTAGCTACTCCGGAGGCTGAGCTGAGGGTGGTGGTTTGAAGCCAGCCAGAGCAGGAAAGTCTGTGAGACTCTTACCTCTAACCACCACAAGCCAGAAGTGGTGCTGTGGCTCAAGTGGTAGAGCGCTCGCTTGGAGCAGAAGAGCTCAGGGACAGCGCCTGGGCCCCGAGTTCAGGCCCCAGGACCGACGAGCCATGACTGCTCAGGAAGGCGGGACGTGCTGAGCGGGGATGGAGCGGGAGGGGCACCGCAGGGCCAGCACCGGCTCCCGCAAGATGTGGGTCAGGCACAGCCCACACAGGCGCCGTCCCGGCTGCGGCCAGCGGGCTGGCCTCCTGGGAAGCCAGCCTCAAACCATGGCCACGGCAAAGGCACAGGGAGCAGGGACAAGCCCAGTACCAGGGGCACTGAGCAACAGAGCCCAGGGCGACACGTGCTAAGGCCCTAAGGGTGCGGGGCTGTGGGTCAAGGCTGGGGAGGGGGCAGAGACTAAGAAGAAGGCAGCCAGGCCTGGACAGACCCTAGGACAGGTTGGGGCGAGGAGGTACGAGGGACAGTGTGGTCACGCCTCGGGCTGAGCCCTCCCAGCCTCTCCCCACAGCCCCTGCCCGCCCCACGGCCCGGGCAGAGCCTGGCGGGTTGGGGTCAGCTTACCCTGGCCGGCGCCGAGGCCCGGGTGCGTGAGGCTGGAGTCGGGGCTCCCAGGGAAGGCGGGGAAGGCGGGCTCCTCGGGGTCCAGCGGCGTGGGGAGCGGTGAGGGGAACTGGATGTTGCTCAGGTCGGGCAGGGATCCCCCCGTGTTGTGGGTGGCGGGGACCAGGGTGGCGGTGTTCTCTTGGTCCGAAGACGGGAAAATGCTGTGAGGGCCAGGGGCAGGGGGTGAACTCTGGGGTGTGGGGGCACAGGGTCCCGGGGTGAGGCCTGGCAGGGTGGGGAGGCCTAGGAGGTGGGGTCCCAGGGTCCCAGCCAGACTTACTTGATCCCAGGGACCTCACAGGACTTGGGCCTGGATCCTGCCTGGAAGAGAGGGCAAAGCGGGGAGACCGTGGGGTCACTGGGTGCCCTCAGCGACCCCTAGAGGGCGGGGCACCGTGGGAGCTGCCCTGGGGTGGGCTGGAGGCCCCAGGGCCCCTCCACCAGCCGTGGGGCCATCGGTGACAGCCCGTCAGCAGCCCCACGGGCTCCTGCCACAGGCCCTGTCTGAGTCAGGCAGCAGCGGCTCTGGGGGTCACAGCCCCAGGGAGCAGGGGGGGAGGGCGTGGCCGCTGTGTACTGTGGGAGCGGCCTGGGGTCAGTTGGGACCCCGCAGCAGGGGACCCCACGCCTGGGGCCTGCTCCTCTTCCTCTGGGAGGTGGGGGGAGGGGACAAGGACGAGGCTGGGCCCGCCCCCACTGCATCTCAGCGGGGGTCAGCGGAGGGGGGGGGTGCAGACACCGGCGGCTGGGAGGGCGGGGCCCCACCTGGCCAGCACCTCTGATGCCTACAAACACCCGGCATCGTGGGGAGGAAGTGTCCAGGGGCCGCTGGGGCCAGTCAGCCGGACACGGCTGCGCACACACCGCACGTTCTTGTGTCCGTCCTGAGCTTTTTCATTGGGGCAGGGGCTGGCTCACTTCCACCCCCGCCGCTCTGAACCGGCTGAGTGGTTCAGGCGTGGCCGCTGGCACCTGGTCTCTGGGGTTGGGTGGACTGGGGTTGGACTCGGGCCCGGGCCTCGGGAAGGCGCTCTGCTCTGCCCGGGCCACACCCGCAGCCCCTCTTGCTTCACCCCAGCAGGGTCTGCTCTGACCGGGCTGCGGCGCCCCACCCCACCTGTGCTTCACAGACTTTGCCCTGGAGCGTTGCTGGGACTGTAGGCATGAGCCGCGCTGCTCCTACCTTCTTGGTGTCCCATGTCTGCTTGGAAAGGTTCTTGTCTGCCTCTGACGCGGAGCCTTCCATTCCCGGGACAGTGAGCAGGAGGACTGGAGCGGGGGAGGGGGGGATGGTGAGGAAGGAGCCGAGGCCCCGCCCTCCACGCGTGAGACCCAGGTGCCCGCTGTACCTCTTTTCTGGTGTGTGTCCTGGGAGGGGCCTGGGAAGGAGTCGGGCGGGGTGGGTGCCATGGCGCTCTGGTGCAGGGCAGAGTCCGAGTTCGTCCTGGGGAGGAGACAGTGAGGCTCAGGGGCCGCTGCAGGCCCGGGGTCCAGGCCAGGCCCGCGGCCGGTGGGGGACACTCCATCTCACACCAAGGGCGTCGTGCAGGAGCCGGCAGAGCGGCCACAGCCAAGCCACACCGTGTGGCCGCTGGTGGCAGGTCTGTGCTGTGTCCCCAATGCTCCTGGCTATTGGGGAGCAGCAGGTACCGCGGGCCTGCCCCCCGCAGCATGCTGGCAAGCTAGGTGTGGGGCAGTGCCTCCCGGCATGGGGCAGAGCCCAGCAGCGGCCTGGGTCAGCCGGGGACTCCCAAAGACCAGAAACCAGCTGCTGGACCAGCAAAATGCAGGCCTGGCCGGCAGGGGGCTCATGGGGACAGAGCACAGCACCCTGCACGGCAATGGGGGCATCCCGTCATGCAAAGGGACAGAGGGCACCGCCCGCAGGGAAAACGGAGGAGCCGCTCGGTGACCGTGCTCACGCGGTCATCCCAGCCACGCAGGAGGCTGGGATCCGAGGATGGCAGTTCAAAGCCAGCCCAGGCAGGAACGTCCCTGAAACTTTTATCTCCAATGAACCACCAGAAGCCTGGAGCTGTGACTCAAATGGTAGAGCACCAGCCTCCAGTGAAAAATCTATGAAAAACTGCAAGGCCCCGAGTTTAAGTTTCAGGACTGGCACATGCATGCGCACACACAAAATAAACACAGAACTGAACACAGCGAGCTGTAAGACTATCCGGTTTTGCAGGCTGGGAAGGTGGCTCGGTGGTAGAGTGCTCGCCCAGCACTCAGGAAGCCCTGGGTTCCATTCCTCAGTACCACAGACACCGAGAAGGCTCCAAATGGCGCTGTGGCTCAAGTGGTAGAGCGCTAGCCTTGAGCACAGAGAGGCCCAGGCCGGCGGCCCGGCCCTGAGTTCAAGCCCCAGGACCATCCAGTTTTGGAATAGAAGGAGGCCGCAGAGTGGGAGGAGGAGGGCGGCGGGGACGGGGTGGAGGCGGGAGTGGTGGCAGCAGGCAGGGCTTCGGGGCCCTCCAATCGGCCGTCCAGGCCCAGGTGGCCACAGAGGGCGGCCTGGCCACTGACCTCCTCCAGCTGCAGTCCGCGGGCGGCGAGAGGTACACGGTGCTGTAGGGGCAGCCGTCGGCGTGGGCGGAGTTAAGGGGCGGCACGGTGCGCTGGCTGGGGCCCCGGCCGCCCCGAGCCTGGGAACAGCTGGGCCGGAGGCGTTTCCTGCCCGGCTGCGAGCAGCCTCAGCACTGGAGGCTCCCGGGGGCCCCGACCCCGCCACCCCGCACTCAGCACCGGCTTCCTGAGGCCAGGGCCTTGGGAGCTCGGCCAACCCTGTCCTCTCCGGGGCTCCGGGGCCGAGGCTCTACCCAGGGCTCAGCCTGCCTGGCTTCCCCCAAGACCACAGAGGGAAGCCACAGGGAGAGGGGGGCCTGTCTACAGAACGGAGGTCCCCTGGAGCAGCTGGTGATGGGGACCTGGCAGGTTTCTGCCCCACTGAGGTGCAGCTGTGACTTCTACACCCGACCCAGCGCCAGACCGGGCCCCGGCCTCGGAAGCGCCGGCTGACGCGGGTGGAGGAAGGATATCGGCCGCCCGTGCTTGTCCACCGATGGCGGCCGGCGGTGGGGGGAGCCCAGGCGGCCCCGCTCCCGGTACACCCGGTCCACCAAGCCATGGTGGCGCGTTGTCCGGCTGGTGTCCAGGCCTGAGGACTGGAAGGGCGTCTGGAGTGGGGAGAAAAGGGACAAAGCCAGGGGCTCGTCATCCTCCGTGGCCCTGACCCCCCCCCCGGCTCTGCCTGGGGGTGCCACGATGCCCAGCCCTGCCCCCTGCCCCAGGATGACTGGGCAGAGCGGCTCAAGCTCGGGCCGGTGCCCATAGGGAGCAGGCGCGGGAGCAGCCTGGCCTGGCGTGACCATCCGCCTCCTCCAGGGGCCTCCGGTCCCGTCACCCCTGAGGTGCAGCCGAGACACGGCCGGGGACCGGCCCCTGTGGGCCAGTGGAGCCCGGAGCGGCTCCTGGCCTTCCCCAGTGTCCAGTCAGAGCCCTGGCTCACGGTGCCCGGGGACGCCGGAGGCCCTGGCTGGGCTTCTCCCCCGTCCTGGGCGCCTGGGCTCTACCTGCCCGGCCCAGTGGGGCTTCCCCACCACCTGACGATGGTGACAGGCCCCTCACTAGCCTGGACACCAGCGTGTCCACCGGCCTGGCCACCTAGGCCCTGGCCCATCTGTCTTCCTCCTGCAACTGGACAGGAACCTGACAGGAAGGCGAAGGCCCTGTCCGGTACCCACCGAGGGCCCTTCTACTCCGCCTCGCTTCTTCCTGGGCCTGAACTCAGGGCTGGGCGCTGTCCCTGAGCCACAGCACCACTTCCACGTTTCTGGGGGGACTTTCTTGCCAGGCTAGCTTCGATTACAAGTGTGAGCCACAACACTTCACTTTCCTGGTTTTTTTTTTCTCTCTCAAATCTAGCACTCTACCATTTGAGCCAGAGTTCTCTTTTTGGCTATTTGGTGGCTGACTGGAGATGGAGTCTCATGCACTTTCCTGCCCGGGCTGGCTTTGAACCGTGATCCTCAGATCCCCGCCTCCTGGGAGCTGGGGTCACAGGCGTGAGCGCCAGTGCAGCCTTCTTACACTTCTGCCCCGCGGTGAAGCTAGGGGCCACCATGACTGGTAACAATGGGCTGGGAGGGCGTCCACCTTCCTGCAGCCATGCCTGGCAGCCCAGAGGGGAGACGGACCCTGAGGCACAGCCTGAGGGGTGGGGAGACCGGGCCTGCCCTGGACAGCAGGTGGCCCAGGTCCTCCCCTCTGGAGAGGCGACCATGCGGCGGTGCACGTGCTTGGGGCCCCTTCCTCCTGGCGGAGGCCAGCTTGAGTGTCTGGGGGCTCTGTGGGCCATGCACCCGTTACAGGGTGCTGGCGGCTCCGTGGCCGCCTGGCACGGTGGCCGCCCTCCCGGTGGCCAGGGGCAGCCGTGTGGGGGCCAGGGGCCCCTGGTGCGCACGTGCGTGGGTCGGGGTCTTGCAGGTCGGCACGGCAGCCTCAGCCCAAGAGCTCCATTACCAGAGTCAGGAGCCACGTCCAAGGCCTCCCCCACAAATTCGCTGTGCTGAAAATGCAAAGAACTGAAGCCTGGAAACGCCCCGTGGATGCGGGACGGCAGGCAACAGCCCTGTCGGGCTCAGGGACAAGGCGGTGGCTGAGGCACAGCTGCAGGAAGTGCAGGGTGCGGGCCAGGCCGGAGGCCAGGCCTCGAGCGTCGGTGGAGCCGCGCGCCCCACCAGCTCCCACCCGGGCAGCACGGGCCGCGAGGGGGGCGGGTGATCCAGGGCCTGACACGGCCTGCCCGTCTGTGGCCGTCAGCGGCCTGCTTCTGGGGCTCGCACAGCACTGGACGGAGCTGCGGCCACAGAGGTGGGGGACCCCAGCCCGCTCCCCGGCCCACCCCTGCCTCCACCGCAGACAGGCCTGGCAGCCGGCTGGGCCTTATCTCATTAGGCACCAATGCCTGGTGCGGCCAAGCAGCTTCTGCCAGAAACCAGACCTGTCTGCAGCAGGGAGGGCTGGGGGGCCGGGCCTCCCCAGGAAGGGGGAGGCCCTCGGGGGGAAGGGGGGGGTGCCCAGACCCCACACACTTCCTGCAGCCGCAGAGAAGGCCGACAGGTGCCGTGGGCGCGGGCCAGGCCTGTTGGAGGGGAGAGCTGGCAGTGGGTCCCGGGCATCGGGCCGGTGCGGGCAGGGCTCACCTGGAAGGGCAGGTCCATGGCCCCGCTGCCCAGCTGGTTCACATTGGGCAGGGACCCGCCATAGTACTGGCCGCGGCTCGGGCCCAGCTGTAGGTACTGCGACTTCTGAAGCTGCAGCTGCAAGACAGAGACAGACGGCCAGCTGCAGGGGGGCTGGGTGGGGCTCCCCGCCCCGGCACCCCCGCACCGGTGGGACCTGGCAGCCTGGGGGCTCATGGCATGGTCTCAGGTCCCTGGCTGCCTCGCATTGGCAGAGGTGGGTCACTCCACAAGGGTGGGAAACATGGGTCCTCTGGGGGGCGCCCGTCATCTCTGCCACAGGCCGCGTGACTGGGCCCGGACGCGTGGGCAGGGCTGCGCGCGGGGCTGGCCGTGCCGTGTATCAGGAGTCCAGCCTGACCTCTGAGTCCCTCCATAACATGCCCAATCCAGCTCGTGGGGCCAGCCCTGCTCAGGGGCTCTGTGTGGGTGCCATCGAGGACGGCCACCCCCTGCGGCCAGGGCCCTGGGGGAGGTGAGAGCTGACCCGCAGCCCCCGTGGGATCCACAGGCTCAGCACTGCCGCAGAGGCCAGCGGACCACCTGCTGAGCTCCCAGCAGGCACTGTACGGCTCAGACCGCCGTGGGGGGCGGGGGAAGCGAGGCCGGAATGGCCACCTGCCTGGCCACCACCGCGGCCGCTGACCCCAGCTCACACCGCCGTGCCTGCGTGCCAGCTCACGCTGGGGCCTTGGGAAGTGACAGCCATAGGGGAGCGCGTCTTGGGCCACAAGGCCCAGGGCGCCCAGTTCACGCAGGACTTCCTACCACCCGGGGCTGCGTCCCCCCAGGGGGTGCCTGCCCCCCACACACTGTGGGCAGGGTGGGCGCAGCCTGCTGCCTTGTGGCTGCTCTGGCCACGGCCTGTGCTGCCCCTCACAGGGCCGTTCCCCAACGACCCCAGTCCAGAGGGGGAAACTGAGGCCTGGGCAGAAGCTGCTGCAGTGCCAGGGATGGGGGGGTGGGAGGTAACCCTGACTTTCAGGTGTGTGGGGGTTGGGGCTCTGCTGTGTCTGGGAGCAAGAGGTGCCCCCGGGGGCAGCTCAGGGCGGGTGCCATCCGGGACCTGCGGGACGCCTGCTCTGTTCTGCCAGGGGTCATCGTGGCCTGGCCAGCACAGATGACCCCCAGACCCAAGGGACCTGACCGGCCAGCACCAGTCACTGCCCACAGGGTCAGGCAGAGGGATGCAGGGGGTGGGACGTGACTGAGAGCAGGCAGGGGGGCCTCAGGAGACGGGGACACGGAGCACGGCCAGAGCCCCCCTGCGGCAGCGGGGAGGAGGGACACGACACGTGTGGCCGCAGCCAGCACTGGGAGGCGGCCGGGCGGCTGCCCCACACCCCAGCCCGCACGCACACCCTGGCCCGCTCCGGCCGCCCGCTCCCGGTGCTGAGCGGCTGCACCCTAGTGCTGCCCTGCCTCTGCCCCGGTGGGCAGGCACCATCTGCTGCCTGCGGCTGAGCCTGCAGGAGCCGCCTGCACCCCTGGCCCTGAGCCAGGGTTCCCAGGGGAAAGCTCAAGATGAAGACAAGGCAGACACCCCACATGCACGGCATCAGCCCACATACACGGCATGTACCCCACATGCACGACATGTACCCCACATGCATGGCATATACCCCACATACACGGTGTACGCCACGCGCACACGCACCCCACGCGCACACGCACCCCACGTGCACACGCACCCACACGCACACGCACCCACACGCACACGCACCCCACGTGCACACGCACCCCACGTGCACACACGCACCCCACGCGCACACACGCACCCCACGCGCACACACGCACCCCACGTGCACACACGCACCCCACGCGCACACGCACCCCACGCGCACACACGCACCCCACATGCACACGCACCCCACGTGCACACGCACCCCACGTGCACACGCACCCCACGCGCACACGCACCCCACGTGCACACGCACCCCACGTGCACACATGCACCCCACGCGCACACGCACCCCACGCGCACACACACCCCACGCGCACACGCACCCCAAGTGCACACGCGCCCCACGTGCACACACGCACCCCACGTGCACACGCACCCCACGCGCACACGCGCCCCACGTGCACACGCACCCCACGTGCACACGCACCCCACGTGCTCACGCACCCCACGCGCACACGCGCCCCACGTGCACACACACCCCACGCGCACACGCGCCCCACATGCACACCCGCCCCACATGCACACACGCACCCCACACGCACACGCGCCCCACGTGCACACGCACCCCACGTGCACACACACACCCCACGTGCACACGCACCCCACGCGCACACGCACCCCACGCGCACACGCACCCCACGCGCACACGCGCCCCACATGCACACCCGCCCCACATGCACACACGCACCCCACGTGCACACACGCACCCCACATGCACACGCACCCCACGCGCACACGCACCCCACGCGCACATGCACCCCACGCGCACACGCGCCCCACGTGCACACGCGCCCCATGTGCACACGCGCCCCACACGCGCACACGCGCCCCACACGCACACACGCCCCACATGCACACGCGCCCCACATGCACACGCGCCCCACATGCACACGCGCCCCATGTGCGCACACGCCCCACGTGCACACTCGCCCCACATGCACACGCGCCCCATGTGCACACACGCCCCACATGCACACGCGCCCCACGTGCACACGTGGCCCATGTGCACACGTGCCCCACACGCACACGCACCCCATGTGCACACGCGCCCCATGTGCACACGCACCCCACACGCACACGCACCCCATGTGCACACACGCGCCCCACATGCACACGCACCCCATGTGCACACGCGCCCCACGCGCACACACGCACCCCACGTGCACACACGCACCCCACGCGCACACGCGCCCCACACGCACACACGCCCCATGTGCACACACGCACCCCACATGCACACCCGCCCCACGCGCACACCCGCCCCACATGCACACCCGCCCCACATGCACACGCGCCCCATGTGCATGTCATGCGCCTCACGTATATGGCACACAGCACGCACCCCACGTGCACGTGTATTCCGCCTGCACAGATGCACTCCTTTCGCAGGGCACCCCCACACGCATGGCATGCCCATACGCGCGGCACGCACGGCAGGTGTGGCCCATGGAGGAGTCTGGTGTGCCAGGAGCGAGGCTGGCCGCAGGCCTGGCCAGGAACAGACACCTTGGGTGCCGGGCAGCATGGAGGGCAGGAGGGGCGTGGCACCTGCTCGCAGCCCCGTGCTGGGGGCGGGGGCTCTGGACCCCGGGGCGGTCGCCCACCTCAGGAACATGAGTGGGACTGGCTCAGCCCAGAAACTGCCCTATGAGCCCGGACCCCATTCCTGAGCTTTTCCACGCAAGGCTGCCACTCTACCACAGCACCACTTCCAGTTTTCTGGTGGTTTACTGGAGATAAGAGTCTCGTGGACTTTCCTGCCCAGGCTGGCTTTGAACCGCGATCCTCAGATCTCAGCCGCCTGAGTGGTTGGGATGACAGGCGGGAGCCACCGGCGCTGGGCCCAGCCTGTTTCTGTCCCCCAAAAGAAGCCCTGGCCCTGCAGTCCCCGACTGCTTCCTGCCTCTTCCCCACAGCTGGCCCCGGGCCTCGGGCTCTGCCTTCTCTCATGTCGCGTGTTTTGGGGTTCACTCACATTGTGGTGTGGCAGACCCAACTGCTCGTCACGGCCCAGTGCACCCTGCGCCGTTTGTTTATTTATGCGCTCCGCTGATGGACGCTTGGGTTATTTTCCCAGCTCTGGGCTCTTGTGTGGAATCTGTTAGAAGCGTGGGGCCCGCACTCACCCCCGGGGGGTCCGGGGAGACTCCAGTCAGCCTGCCCTCCTCCACACAGCCCCACTTGCTCCTGCCGGCTTGCTCTGCGGGCCGGGGCCCCCCCAGCACCGAGCTGCACCCCAGCCCCACAGAGTCTCCGGCCAAGGCCTCAGTGAGGCCCCCGCCCCGGGCCCCCCGGGCTCTGGCCCTTGGCCAGGGTCGGGGAGGGAGGGAGGCCAGGTGAGGGGCTGGGGGGGATCGGCAGATGGGGCAGATGGCGGTGCCACACGGCGGGGGGCCGGCCTGCCGCTGCCCTGCTCCCCTTCCTCCCCCTCTTCCCCCAGCCCAGGAATGCCTTTAATCAGCCTCAGCCGCCAGGCTCCGCCCCGCCAGGGTCCCTGGGGTCCGCACTGCCCCCCAGGAGGCCCGATCCTGCCAGCTGGCCTGGTGCCCACCTGGGCTGTGGCTTGCCAGGGGTCCCGGGAGGGAGGACGCAGGGTGGACTGAAGGCCTGGCCCCCCACCCCCGTCTCCAGATCCAGGTGGTCACCCAACTTTGCCCACCAGCGGGGGGGCCCAGGGCTGGGTGAAGGGGTCCCAGCCTGGTGACAGCTCCCCACACCCCAAGTGGTGTGCGTGCCAGGACCACCCCCCCACGCACGCCCATCCAGCCCCTCTCTTTCTCTAAGACCAATGACCTCATGTCCCCCTAAGGTGGCCCGGAGCTGGGCCCAGCCCCGCACCCCTCCCCAGGGCATACCCGTGGGCCCCAGCACCAAAGCAGTCCACAGAGTGGACAGAGAGGGGCCTCTCGGGGATAGAGGCCAAAGGCTGGCGTGCGGCTTGCTTGCGAGGCCCGTTCTGGGCAGGAGCGGCACCACGGCCGGCGAGTGGCTGGGCACAGTGTGCACTGGGGGCGCGAGTCCCAGGGCAGTGCCAGCCCAGCAGGTGCCAGGCCTCAGAAGCCGCAAGAGGAAAATAAAAAGGTCAACTCCACCGCTGGCTCACGCCCATCATCCCCAGCCGCTCAGGAGGCCGAGACCTCAGGATCCTGGTTAAACCCGGCTGGGACAGGAATGTCCGTGAGACTCAGGGACAGCGCCCAGGCTTCAAGTTCAAGCCCCACGACTGACCATTAAAAAAAAAGTAAGGGAAACGTGAGAATGGACCCCAACCCAGTGAGCGTGTGTCCTCAGGACTGGTGGATGCCGGCAGACACGGAGGCTGCCCGCCCAGGCCCCTGCAGCCCCCAGGACGGGACGGGGCCTGACCCGGACCCCTGCCACATGCCAGGGGGCC